ACCGATGAGGGGTTCTTCGGGCGCAGGAAACCAATGGTCAGAATCGGGTGAACAGACGTGGCGTCGCCCGAAGTGTTACCATTGCGGACGATTGGGTCACCGCACGGATCAATGTTATCAAAAGCAAAGCTACGGTGACTACGGAGGCCGTGGCAGTGGTGGACACAAGTGGCGCTCCGGCGGTGCACAGTATGGCAGGAGATCCGGCCCTAAGAAACAGTGGTCCGATCGCCGCTCGTCGAAGTCGGCCTCCGCTGATGGCGTGTCCGCCGAAGTGAATCACTTCCCACAGCTGTCGGACTTTTATCTGAACCGACGCCTGAGTGATGTCACGTTTGTCTGCGACGGACAGTCACTCTTCGCTCATAAATTTGTCGTTTCGGCCAAAAGTCAAGTGTTTAAGGAAATGCTGTTTCAGTCGACCGCCGAATGCGATTCAAAGACAGATAACGATTCGGTCGCTAATCCAGAGACAAAGGCGAGCGAAGAGATGGTCACAGAAAGCCAGTCAACGGCTGGCGAAGAGAAGACTGACGAAAGCCAATCAAAATCCGGCGAAGAGTTGGTCGTCGATAGCGAGTCAAAAGTGGACAAAGAGATGACTACTGAATGCCAGCCAACGGTAGGCGAAGAGATTGCTGTCAAAAGCGAATCAAAAATCGGCGAAGAGTTGGCCGTCGATAGCGAATCAAAAGTGGACGAAGAGATGACCACTGAATGCCAACCAACGGAAGGCGAAGAGATTGCTGTCGAAGGCGAATCACAAACCGGCGAAGAGTTGGCCGTCGATAACGAGTCAAAAGTTGGCGAAGAGATTGCTGTCGACAACGAATCGAAAACCAGTGAAGAATTGGCCGCCAATAACGTGTCAAATACTGGCGATCAGATGGTTGTCGACAACCAATCAAAGACAGGCGAAGACGCGGTCGTCGATATGGAGCTAAAATCCGACGAAGAGATGGCCGATAAAAGCCAATTAAAGACAAACGAAGAGTTGGACGTCGATATCCAGTCAAAACCCATCGAAGAGATGGTCACTGAATGTCAGTCAGCGGTGGGCGAAGAGATAACCGACGGAAGCGATTCAAAGGCCGCCGAAAATGATGAGTCGAAGAAAGGCGAAGACGCGGCCATTGATGTGGTGAAGACGTGTCCGGAGATCGATTTGATCCATATATCGGACACTAATGTCGAAGCATTCAAACTATTGTTGAAATTCTTGTATACCGAAGAGTTTGCCGACGAAATGAGCGCCGATCCGGTTATGGCCGACGAACTACTAAAGCTGGCCATACGTTTCAAAGTGGACCCATTGGCCACTTTCCTCCAGAGCAAGACTACTGAATAATTAATTATAACTACACTTTTACTTATTATTAGTACCCATAATAATAATCAATAATTTTTGTTTTTTCGTTAACTTTCTAAATATTAAATTGATCTCAATTTATACTTAAAATAATTAAAATATTTTATAACTTTTATAATTACCAAAAGTAATGTATGCATTGATTATCTGTAAATGTGTTTTCAATTAAAATATATAATAAAATGTGTGATAATTTCTATACTCTTGAATGTGATAATTATTGAACACAATCCAAGTTATGGTCTAAACACCGAAAGCAAAGCACTATTCTTAAAATGAATCCATGAGAACCGGAGTCATGACCAATGATTGACAACTAATTGTGTAATACACTGTATAATAGTCACTGCAATGGGAATAAACTATTTTGCGACACATTGTTCATGAATTACTGCTTACGGTACAAGTTAGACAATAATTGAAATACAAATTCACAATTAAAGACAATTTAATTTAATTAAAAACTTACAAAGAATTCATTGGAATTTGTCATTTAAATAAAGATAAATATTGAACTCATTTTGCGGTAAATAAAGACATTTATATTAAAATAAGAGAAAAGTGTGTTTTGAATGTGGTTTCAGTCAATCTTTCCGAGAGCTCGGATGCGCTCAAGAAGTGGTGGATGCGAGTGATACCAACTCGAGTACAACCAATCGTAGAGCGGGAATCCGAGGTTGTCTTTGTTCAGCTTAATGAGAGCACTCCTCAGGTCTGCGGTTCTGTTCATGTGTTTGGCGAAGGCGTCGGCCGCGAACTCAAACCGACGGCCCAAACATGTCATCAGAAATGATAGAATCTGTCAAAGGGTCACAACATTAGCTATGGATCAGTGGATCAATTGATTGAATGCATACTTCGTTATACGGAGAGAATATGTACTGAAATATAATGAATATTCCGATAAAAACGGGCCGCGAGTTATGGAAACCAAATGCTGTGTAAAGGACTTGATTTTGGTATAAAAGGCCTGACAATTTAATTTAATTAAAAACTTACAAAGAATTCATTGGAATTTGTCATTTAAATAAAGATAAATATTGAACTCATTTTGCGGTAAATAAAGACATTTATATTAAAATAAGAGAAAAGTGTGTTTGAATGTGGTTTCAGTCAATCTTTCCGAGAGCTCGGATGCGCTCAAGAAGTGGTGGATGCGAGTGATACCAACTCGAGTACAACCAATCGTAGAGCGGGAATCCGAGGTTGTCTTTGTTAAGCTTAATGAGAGCACTCCTGAGGTCTGCGGTTCTGTTCATGTGTTTGGCGAAGGCGTCGGCCGCGAACTCAAACCGACGGCCCAAACATGTCATCAGAAATGATAGAATCTGTCAAAGGGTCACAACATTAGCTATGGATCAGTTCATCAATTCTAACTTACGTATGAAGCAATATGCCTCTCTTATACATGACTTTATATTACTTATAAGGCTATTTTTGCCCGGCGCTCAATACCTTTGGTTTACGACACATTTCCTGAACTAAAACCATATTTTCCGGAAAAACCATAAAACACAGGAATAGGTTGGTCTCAGCGATGACCAGATTCTTCAGGATATGGTTCAGTTTCCAGTGACCCAATAGTACCCGGTTATGCCGATTATAGAGCAGCAATAATGTCGGCGTGAAGAACACGAGGAAAAACCGGCTTAGCGGCGAGCTGAACAGGAGTCGGAGAAGACGGCTTAGTCTCTAATATTCATTAATTTGCACAGGCAACTCATCCCATGGCCTCAAACTTACCCTTCTTTTCCTCATTCTTATGGAAGTCTTCGATGAGTGTATCGAAGAGAACAATGCGTTTGTTTTTATGGAAACCATAGAAGTATGCGTTGGAATGGGACGAGCGTTTGGATCCCTCGACCACAAAGAGCTTCTTGAGGGGGAAATCAATACTTTGGGCCAATTTCTCGATCTGTTGTTTGAGTTCGCCGTCGGGTAATGGCGTGAACTTATCAAAGAGCGGAGCGATATAATCGGCGTATACTGTCATCAACAGCAGAGTTATGATGAAACAAAACGCCCACAAATAGATGAAGAAGTAGTCTCCGCCCCACTTCACGATCCATATGGCCATCGAGAGTATCGGTGAGATAATGGCCTGCATTATCACAAACTTCTTCACTTTGTCCTAAGCGTACGAAATACACAATTATATCAATCAATGAACAGCGAAATGGATGCCAAATACCTTTGCGTAGAAACCCATCGTCTGTTTATTGAATCCGTGTCTCTCTTCGATGACGAAAGTGTGGTATAGACTCCACGGGAGGTCAATGATGGTCGATATGACGGAACCGATCAACACGAACGCCAATGTCTGCAGTATCTCATTATCGGTGGTATAACCGACGCGACTGATCGTACGGCCAGCGAAGTGCCATAACATGGGAATCGCTTCCGTCCATAGGATTAACTGCGAAACAAATGACAACGGATTAGCGGATCAAATGTCACCATAAAAATGGCCGTTCAATGCATACAGTGCTCAGCAATTGGTTCCAAATGGAGGAATAAAAGCCGAAACAACTCTTATCGATGTTATAATCTCTGGCTTTGACGAGTGTCTCGGTGTCCAACACACCGATCAGTTCTGTCGGCACTTCTGTCACACTCTTGTAGATCTTGTACTGCAAACACAAATCACATTATGAGTCAATCAATTGAGTCAATGGGTTGTCGTTTCTGGCAATACCTGTCTTCGGGAGAGATAGAGATCCCACGCGAAGACAATCCAAGTGAAGACCAGAACCGAGAAGAAGATGTTGTTTGGCGTCCAAAAAGTGGTGATCATATCATTGAGACATTGGTGGCCAACGAAGCCACTGAACAGACCGTGTCGTGTGGCCGAAGACATCACGTGGTGTTAATGCGGTTCCCGAAGAGGTGTCCAAACGATTGGCTGATAATTGGAGTCAAAGGAAAATGCAATTCATTTAGCGATCAAACGGTTTGACACATGTTTTCACAGAAAGTATACGTTATGTTAACAATAGATTCACACAAATAACGTATACTTTTCTATTCACTCCCTTTTGAATCTCAAACTTTTGAAGTTTTTTATAACTCGTTTTATTACAACATTTAATTGTATTGACATTTAGTTAATTGTCTGGTTTATAACAAACTTATACATAGTTGTAATAACGTGTGATAATACAACTGATGTTATGCTTTATGTTGAGGGACAGGCAATACTGGGGTCAGACGTCGCCCTTTGCAGCGCAATCTTAACGCTGATTACGCCTGTAATCAAGTGATAAGATATTACGATTGTTTAGTCCATCGATTCACTTGACATTACATGCAATTTACAAATTTATATTATTTTGTTTGTCTTTAACCTATTGTTCAATTTATTCATACCATGTTGTTGTGTCTATAATTGAACTAAATTACATATTATTAATATTGCCCCAACATTTAGCAAGCTTATTTATAAATTTTACTGTTAATTTTTTGTGAAGAACAAGAATTTAATAAATTAATGACCTAGCTGTTTCACTGTTCGATCTTATGATTAGTCTAGACTTTGACATCAATTTCAAGGCAACCCTTATTACTAAATCACTAAACCTATACTTTTTTGAGACTATATCTCGGAAAGACATTTAAATTGTTCAATTACTAAATTAACCATGCTCTCTTGTAATCTTTACATTTTTAATACAATTGTTATTTATTTTACCTTTTGATGGATGTAAATCATAAACATAATCATGATTAAATCAATTTAAACTGTATAAAACAATTTAAACTAGATTTATAAGGTATAAAAAATAATTAATTTGATGAATATACAATAATCAGTGGATTCTAAAGTGCCAGTTTGAGGCAAATTTTATAAAAGATTGTGTACATTATTCATACACTATTAACATTTATTGTGAGTAATATATGGAATAATACCAAGTTGAAACAATAACCACGTTCAAGTAATAAAAGCCCCCTCTCTATTTTGGAATGGCCTGACAATAATGAAGATAATATATTTAAAGATAATGAAGATAATTTAGGCATAATAATGAGCATGCATTTTATATAAAAGCTCACATTTTGTGACATTTGTGTCTATTTTTATCATTTTAAACGATAATTATGATCCAATTGAATGTACATTGAAATCACGGCTGTAATGACATAAGTACGGCATTATTAACTACTGATTCTACACTTGTATTAGTTTATAATTAATCTAAAGTTAATTTGAAAAGATTATATGGGTTTTAACATTGAATTGTGGAGACAGTGACCACTTAACTGCCCAAGAAGTGCACACATCACTACCCATAAAACCACTTCAACAGACCTACAACTCTGATGGCAACGATATTTCCAGTTTAATGGTGTCTCTCGTATTTGCCGTACAATACATATGAGAATAGGTTTGTGTAAAAAATAAAACTAAATCTCAGTTACAGTACTACTCTATAATTAGACAACAAGTGAAACAAAGGCATAGATTTATGAGAAAATCCCACATAAGAAATAGCGGAAAGTTTTGGTTATGATCTCAACCCAAATGCAAACCCCAATGAAGAGCCAAACGATGAATATATTTGATTTAAAATTCATTCCCAGAATAGTTTTCATTATTTATTATTATCGTTAATCGTATGGGTGTTTGGATTTTGCCATAAATTTTTATTCATTTAATGTATTTCCTATTTTTACGCAAAAGTCTCATAAAAATCAATTCTTTAAATCAAATTCTTAATAATTAAAAATAAGAATAATTACAGGAATTTTTAAATGAATATGAATTAACATAAAAACATTAATCTTTTTATTGTTTGTTTTGTTAGTTTTTTGAGTTCTTAAAACAATGTAAATTTTGCAATGATAAGTATATTATTTTTTATTCAACATGTTTATTTAATGAATTGATTTGCAATTAATTAAATATTTATAATAATTGATGATTAATGAATTTATAATATAAATTATTTAATTCTGATTAAACCATAAGGTTTCGAATAAATATGAGAATTTGAAGGTTATTTTAATTTTGCTGTTAATTTTACATAATTAATGGTTTGGTTTACTTTGAATTACTTTATAAACATTTAATCAAACAAGGATCACACGCGATGCTGTATTTTAACCACAATTCGGATAATGTTTAAAGAATCCCGTAGACTTAATATTAGCCCATAGGAATATCATAAGTTATGATATGATAGGATATGATATTATATGATTCATAACTAGGGCTGAAACTTCGGATCATTTTGGGATCATTTTGTTGTTAATAACCATTTTCTCAATATATAATAATGACTATCGCAATTATTTTATATGTGTTTAGCATTAAATGTTTTATCACTGATTGACTAATTCATAATTTTGGTCAGTCTGTATATTAAATGAATCATCAAGTTTCAGCCCTATTCATAACCCATAGATTTAACATTACCCATGTTCTCACATTACCCATGGGCCATGGCCATAGTCTCAAGCTGTAATCACATAGAAACCTGTGTTAAAGTCATATAGAAAAGTACTTAAAATTTACACCATGTTAAATCTATGCCATAGGACTAAGCTGTAATCCCATGTTAAATCTCATAGAGTGGGGAAAAGGGGAGGGGTAGCCGAACGATCCTATAAACCACATCTTCATATATGAATTGTGATTAAAAAATACTTTATTCAACACTATTATTGAAATGATTTCTTCATTTAATGATTCATTTCTATAATTACATTAATTTTTTTGTTAAATCTTAAATAATTCAATTGCTTATACATTACAGTAATTGTATGCGAATTCCTTGAAATACTTAATTTTAAATACTAGATTGAAATGCAGTAAAAATTTTAATCCAAACAATAGTGCCGTAAATTAATGATTTCGTAAAAAAATAATTACAAAAGACTACATTTACAATGAAATTATGGGTTTGTTAATGATCTTGTTATTATATTGCCATTTTATATTCATCTGAATTTTTCATTAAATATTATCAGAATTTAGTTTATTCTTCTGTTAACTACTTATGGTTTTAAAAAATATTATAATTTAATATTTGGTATGAATTTCAAAATAAATAGCAGACACTTTCAATGAACTCGTTTTACAATAATAAAT